CTCTGGTAAGAAATGAGGATGGTATTTTTAATTATATTATTATTATTATTATTATTAAATTATTTTCCATCTACAACTTTATATATCATTGCTTAGGAAGGTTTTTATGAGATTTCATATGTTACTTAGGAAACCATTCCTGATTAGAGCATTCGTATGTTAAATTAACCATATTGTAATATAAAATATTTGAATGATTGAGATGAGTAGCCTTAGCAGTGAAACTATAGTGAACAAATTTTTGAATTAGAGGCTCCAGAGATGACATAGAAGTATGGATCCCTTTTTAGTACTGCTTTTCTTAAACAGATTTGGTCAAATTATTAATTATGACCTTGTTTTCTTCTAAAATTTATATTTGAAATTTGAATCAGAAGCGTATAGATGGAATACAGAATAAATTTGAGTGTGTATGTGTGTGTGTGTGTGTGTGTGTGTGATTAGTCTATAATCATATTAAACTCAGAACACTCTAGCAACAACTTCCAATAATATGAACAATATTTACATATGTTTCTTATGTAAATAAATAGATAGCCAATCTTAAAGATTTTTCTTCATGAACGGTAAGAGATTCAAGTAAGAAAATAAAAATTGGTTCAAAATCCATTTTGATCCAGGTACAGATGAAACAAGATTTAATTAGGCTTTTACCAGAATTGCTACGATCAAAGGTATCTCATAGTTTTGTATTAAATGTCAGAAGCAAGCTTACTTCATGCTATGTCCTCAATCAAGAGATATCATATTAAGCCAGCAATGATTTTAAAAGGAGTTTTAGCATAATTACCCCATCAAGGTTTTTTTCAGGCACAAAAATGTGGTTTTCTTGTATATGGAGCCAAACAAATATGCATTAAGTATCTCAGAATACTTCAATTGAGAAGGCTGTGTTCAGATACGGATCTAAAAGGATACTTCAAATGCAAAACCATTTTTAATAAAACTGGATTATCCAGTCAGAACAGTTCTGATCAATCAAAAAGACATTTTGCAATACATCTGCTTTGAAACTAATGGTTCCTCTAGAGGCATGTCAATGTGCTTCCCTGTTTCCATCTATCTTACCACACTTCTCCAGCGAGACTGGTGGTTGGTGCTAGGCCAGAAAGTAACATGTGTTATTTCCTGTGCTGTGATGGCTTGGAAAAAAATGGCCCTTGCATTCCTTCCAGTGCTGCTTTTTCCCAGCCCCAAAGTAGCAACTTCCTGGATGGGGAACAAGCAAGAGGCAGCATTTTCTCTGCTGCAAGAGCTACATAGATAGCCCTCTCCCTACTTTTCCTTCCCCCACTTCCAAATTTACACTGGAAGAAGAAAGTGTCAGCCCTTAGAGGTAATCCAGATAAGAAGCACCAACCATGAGTCCTAGCCCTGCCTTTATTGTAAAGTTACAGTAACACAATCTCGCAAGTCTGAATGTACAGGTAGTCCTCGGCTTATAACAATTCATTTAGTGAACCCGCTGCAACGGCACCGAAAAAAGTGACGTGACCGTTTTTCACAGCTACCACCTTTGCAGCATCCTTGTGATCATGTGATCAAAAATTCAGATGTTTGGCAACTGGTTCATATTTATGACGGTTGAAGTAGCATGAGGTCATGTGATCCCATTTTGTGACCTTCTGACAAGCAAAGTCAATGGGGAAGGCAGATTCACTTAAAAGCTGGATGACTAGCTTAACGACTTCAGTGATTCACTGGAAAAAACTGAGGCAAGAAAGGTCGTAACATGGGGCAAAACTTACTTAAATATCTCACTTAACAACAGAAATTTGGGGCTCAATTGTGGTGATAAGTTGACTATCTCTCCATCTCTCCACCTTTGCAGCTCAAGAAACTAGGGATGATCCCTCTGAGGGAGGGATGGCATGCCCCCATTGCTTCTGAGGGCTAAGCTGCCTCTTATCTGTGGTTCCTCCTACTCTCCTCTTTCAAAGACAGTCTCACAGACCACTATTGAAGGCGTCTACTGCTGTTGTTTCATCTGTTCTTGTTGCAAGCACTGTGTCTAGTTGTTTCTTTCAAACCTTTCTCTGTGCCTTCAGGTTTTCTGGAAGACTGCTTGGAGCCCAGTGGGTATCAGGCTGGGGTAGTGTGAGGCAAACAATGAACACTACATAATAAACTCTGCCCTTTTTTGAAAGTGCACTGTGACATTACCACACATGGACAAAAGGGGAGAGTGTTTTTCTCATTTTGGCAAATGCTTCAGATCCTACAAAAGCTTCAGGGGGGAAGGGGGAATTTCACTTCCAAACTCTTATTGCCCTTGATGTAAGATGCTTACTATTGTCTCAAGGTCACCTTTCCTCAGCTCAAAGCTAATTACGTTATTTTGGCACAAGAGGCAAAAAGTCCCATATCCATATGCAATAAGTCAAATTAGCAGCAATTTTCTACCTCTTCAAGATATTGCAAATTGCAATGCACTTTTAGTATCCTTGTTAACAATACGTTCAAGAGGTTTTCTCAGTGGAATCTCTAGCCTCTTTCTTTATCAGCACAGAATTAAAACCAGGAATATCCAAATTACATCATTGTATAGTAAGTAGATCAGTAAGTAATATACTATCTAACAAATTAAGCTATTTCCGTCTATTATCTTACAAATCCAGCTATTTCCAGGAGAATTACTTCTGGAAGAAGAGATGACAGCATGATTATTTATTTTGGCTTTGTAAACAAGAATATTCTAGTTCACTGATCAATACTCAATAGAGCAGTTTGACACTCAAAATTATTAAATAGTTTTTAGCAGTATACTGAGACTGTGCTAATAAATATTTCTATAATGCCTGTATCAAATGCTTTAAACTTTAATTCTCATGCCTTAAGAGCAGGTACACAAGATCGATGGCAAGGAACTGGAAGGATCAAAATATCTGGAACAGCCATACTCCTATCCTATTTATAAGCTGGCAGCTTACATTTCAGCAATTTTGGGTGTTTTTTTTTTAAAGCCTTAAATGTTAATGAAGAAAATTTTGGTTGTGGTGCATTAGCCTCATAATGAATTTGTATTGGAAAAAAATGACTTAAAAATATAATGTATTTCCAGATGAGAAGTAATGTGCAAATTACAATACACAGTTTTTTACATAGCCTTCAATTTCAAATTAACTTATCTGAAACTAAGGATCATTAGTACAGATAGACCTCGACTTTAGTGACCATTCAAAGTTATAATGGCACTGAAAAAAGTGATTTATGACTGTTTTTCACACTTAACAACTATTTCACCATCCCTATGGTCACGTGATCAAAATTTGGATGTTTGGCAACTGACTTGTGTTTATGATGGTTGCATGTCCTGGAATCATACGATTACCTTTTGTGACTTCTGAGAAGCACAGTTAATAGTGAAGTCAGATTCATTTAACAATCATATTGCTAACTTAACAACTACAGTGATTCACTTAACAATTGTGCCAAAAAAGATCATAAATAAGGCAAAACTCACTTAACCACTGCCTTGCTTAGCCACAGAAATTTTGGGCTCACTCTGGTCATAAGCCAAGGATTACCTGTCTTACCTATTTTTGAATAATTGTATCCTTACTTTCTACTTTAGGGTTGTATCCATTTAATAGACCTCAACAACTGAATAGTAGTTTTCTTCCTCTCCACAGTCTCCCTCACCCACATGTGCTCTGCAAAGTAGCACTGGACAGATTTAGGGAAATGCAGAGATGTGAAGGTCAGATTTATAGCATTAGATTTTTGTCCTTCATTTAAAACCATAATAAAATAAAATAATAAAATAATCCTCCAGAGAAAGATTGAAGGCAAACGAGGTCCAGGCAGAAGAAGAACATCATAGCTTCAAAATCTAAGGGACTGGTTTGGGCAAAACTCAGCAGCACTTTTTCGTGGGGCTGCTGATAAAAACAGGATTGCCAACAACAACAAGGTTTTTCTCTCTCTTACACCCTCCCACTCACTCAGACGCATGCATACCCCTCTTTTCTATGAAATTTATCAATACGCATATCCAGCTGACTGAAGTGTCCTTTCACATTCCCAAACAATTATGGACTGACAGCCATGGGTAGACTTCAATGTAAACTTCATCTGCATGACAATCCCTTGAATAGGAGCTCAATTGTTTTTATAGTCTAGAGCATCTGCATGATCACTATACATTCTAACTGCCACTTAAAACACACTTCCCATTCACAAAAATAAATAAAGAGAATGGGATTGCCAAATATATGGTTCTCCATATTTTGCAACTCATTAACAACTTATTCTAACCAGTCCTTTTATTTGTAAACTAATTCAAATGAAAAGTCTGTTTACTTATGAGAACAGATCTACCTATCCATTAGAGATAAAACTATTTCTATCTGAGAAAAAAAGTATTGTGACACATGGCATTTTTCTCACAGTTTTGTTGGGAAATAACCAGTCTGGATATATAGTATAGTTTATCAGGATGAATAATAGCATGCGGTCATTGCAAAAGGGGAAGAAAACTCTGAAGTTTTGGAAATGTCCACCCAGAGCCTGGAAACAACTTAAATTTCATATCAAAATTAGGCCTCACTTTAATTAAGAGCTTTCTGATGGCATGAGTCTTTCCCTGCCTATCCTAGATACTGAGCCCACAATTATGCTACCACCTTTTTAAGTAATCTGACATTAGACTTTGAAGGCAACTATTAAAAAACAGTTTTCTAGGATTCTTGAAGATAAACAGGCCTGAGAAATTGGTAGATTGGGCAAGCATGTACTCATGCCACTTGAATTCAGCAGAAGTTTCTTTGAATAGTCATGTCTAGGTTTATTCTCTTAATCATGTCTAACTTGGAAATACTGTAAGTCTCATTGAAATCATAGAGTCACAACCAAATAATAAGCAACCATGCGTAGGCTAGTAGGCTTCTCAGAATATGATTTTTTAAAAACAAAAAACAAAACTGATTCCGACATGTGTTAACTTTGCAATTACCACAGTTAATTCAGAGAAGGGAAATATTAGCCTCTCTTATACTCACCTTCCTTTAAAGTCCATTTAATTGACCCCGTTCTCTTGCTGACTGCATGTAAACTCCCATCAAGAGTTGAAACGAACAATAATGTCTCTGGCAAAGTCACTGAATTGGCATTTCCACAGCTCTGGAAAAAAAAAAGAAGAGCAGAAGCTTTACATTTATTTTGTTGTTAATTGAGGAAGGTGAAGACTTGATAGGAAGGGCAAGAAGGAGTATTCTTTCACACAATGATCAGTTTCTCTTCCTTGCAAAATAAATAGGCTAGGTAGCACAAGCAACCCAAGCAGGATTAAACTATTTTAAACCTGTGCTTTTTACTAGCTTTCCTACTGTTGCTACCCATATATCGAATGTTGGGCACTTTAGATATTTAGCTAGAAGGAAAAGAAGCCATGGTACATAACCATCCTTAATCTGAAGAGCACATTGTGCTAGTCAGGGCATAATTTAGATCAGAACCAATCCACCCACTGCATAGAGAGAAGCCAAACAAGCAGTACTCATGAACTTGATTTGTCCTTTTTCTGTTTTCCTTCTGCTGTGTGGGTACCAGGAACAAGGAATTTATGGCCTTAAAGCTACTGAACTATTAGCCCTCACCCCATAATGGAGGATGGAAAGGGATTCTGGGAGCTGTAGTTCAGCAACAAATGGAGAACTTCAATTTTCCTTAAAGAAAGTTGGGAGAAAGAGCAAGGACTGTAGTGATCATAGAAATCATGTAATATCATGTCACATAAATGAGTGAGAATAGGCTTTTGTCTGTTGTTGTTATTGTTCTTGTGGTTGTCATTTCTCCAGGTTTTATGGGAGATAGTTGGCACACATTTTTAAAACTGACCTTTGTTTTACTGTTTACACTATAGTTTTCATATATTTGTTACTTCAAAATGTAGAAAACTGTGCTGTTGGCTTGGGGAACAATCCTACTAAAAAGGTAACCTCAGAGACTGCCAAAAATGGTGTGTGTGTGTGTGTATGTGTGTGTGTGTGTGTTTGTATGTAGGGATAGGCCTCAATTTACCAACCCTTGTCATAAGACTAAGAAATGCCCACCACCTATAATTCATAAAACTCTGGAGTAAGGCATGCAATGCTCTGAAACAATGTACTGGTGCAGTACAGGTAGTCCTTGACTTAGGGCCACAACTGAGTTCAAAGTTTCTGTTGAGTGAGTTGTGAGTTTTGCCCCATTTTACCACCTTTTTTGCCACAGTTGTTAACTGAATCACTGCAGTTGATAAATTAGTAACCCAGTTGATAGTGAATCTGGCTTCCCCATCAGATTTGCTTGTCAGAAGGTTGCAAAAGGTGACCACATGACCTTGGGACACAACAATGGACATAAATATGAACCACTTGCCAGGCTGATCATGGGGATGGCTGCAAAGGTAATAGATGTGAAAAGTGGTCATAAGTCACATTTTTCAATGCCATCGTAACTTTGAACAATCCCTAAATAAACTTTTGTAAGTCAAGGACTACCTGTATTTCTTAGGGAATTGAGTAATGAAGAATAGAGCACAGCCAGTGTTGTGGCTGATCATAATAAGGGTTAAATTCTTTCTCCTTTGAAGAAAGAAAAGGGAGAAGGTCTGAAGAAAGAGGATTGAATGTTGGGACAGTTAGAATTTGGGTTCGTTGGCAGTTGATAGAGGAAGGAGGAAGGAGGGCCAGACAGATATTTCTAAACATCAGTTTCCATGAACGAAAAGACAGCAAGGACCTGCCTATGTTTGCTCAGGGAAGAAACCTCCCATTGAAACCTGTGGACAAAGCTGCTGCCTCAGCAAAGCACCTGTAAACTCTTGGTGGTCTCCCAGTGGGGGAAAAGCAGAGCCAGGCAGGAAAAAGCAGATCCTGCTAGAAAAGCAGTGTTTCTCAACCTTGACAATTTTAAGGCATGTGGACTTCAACTCCCAGAATTCCACAGCCAGCCATGCTAGCTGTGGAATTCTGGGAGTTGAAGTCCACATGCCTTAAAGTTGTCAAGGTTGAGAAACACTGTGCTAGAGTCAGAAAATGAAAGAATACGATGAATTTTGTCAGTTAAAACAATGGCTTAACTCAGAACAAAACCTAAACATCTACTAGCGTTTCTTCTTCTTAAACTCTACCAAACAGAAAGAAAAGAAAAAGAAAAAAGGAGCTTTGCCTGTAAAGACAATTGCCCCAGGTTGATTTGGGATACCACCAGTGGTGAGATTCAGCCGGTTCGCACCACTTGGGCAGAATCAGTATCTAATTTTTTGTTGCCCAGGCCCAGAATGGACTTCCGGAAGTGGCATCTACACAGAGAACTGGTTGCTCACATATTCGAATCCCACCACTGGATACCACTTAATGTTGCCAAAACCAGAGAGATCTGATCTCTGAGGTAACATCCCGTGACACGGTTGCATGGAAATAAGCAGATGCTCTGAAACTGCAAGCTGTCTCATGTTAACTAGGGATAGAAAAAGAAAAGGCACCTTACGTCCCAAGATAGTTTAGGGACCTTCATTGCCTCAAATGAAAATTACTAATAAAATAGAGGAACATGTAAATTAATTTTTTTCAGGGGTTTGCCCGCAAACTGGGGTTCTCTTCAAAGCCTATCAGATTTTTCACATTCCATAGCAGGGCTCTGACCATGAGTATTTTTGCTGTAATTCTTTTATCTTAAAAACAACTGTTTGGTAAGAGCATTTTGATTGTTTAGCCACCTGCCATTGCCTGAGAAGTTTCAAAAGTATATTTAACATACAAGTTACTACTGAAACTCTTAAGGGCTGAAATGACATTTTTGGGCATAGTACTGATGTTTTTCAAAAGACAAGAAACTGACTTATCGGAAACAAAGATGTTAATCATATTGAATTATTTTACACACAGTGTTTGAAAAAAAAAGATACAATCAGTTTCAGAATAGGGTTTGTTATTTTGAAAAAGTGAACAAGCATTTCATTAACAATTGAATTACCTTCTGTCCAAACATAGCTGTATTTGTATATGGTAAGCAAATATGCTACAGGATCAAATGAGTTGTTTTATCCAATTCATATGATCTCATAAAAGATTTATTCATCAAATAAGAAATAGCTTTGGAGGTCCTTCCTTAGGAAAAAAAAACGGAGCTCTTTTCAACTTCCTTATTGAGAAATCCAAAAGATCTTACAGAAATATTTCTTTTGCAGAGATATTTCATTTGCCGTTTACATGTACTGAAGGTTGGGGTTTTTTTAAACCACAAATGGGAAACTGTTCCTCAACTGCACCTGTTAGCTGAATGCTTAGGCTCTGTTACTTATCAGCCCCTACCTATTTTTTGTGATAAAGAATTATTCTCACATACATATTATATTATAATCTGGTATATTGACTATTTTAGATGAGTTTCCTGGAGGAAGATTAAATCAGGATATTTCTGAATGCATGTATTAATTTTACAGCAGTCTCCATAATTTTATAATTTATTTCATTAATTTATGCTGTTTGTTTATAGCACCATATAGTACCAGTGTTATATTTTAGATTTTATAGTTTTTTTTAATCACTGAAGTATAATTTTTATAATTAGATCTTAGTGTTATAAAGTCCTATTATCCTATGCTGTAATCCTTGTAATTAATTATTAATATGTTATGCGATATCTTAAATTGTTACTGCTGGGAATGATTTTAAATGTTTTATATTTTATACTGTTTTAAGACTGGCTGACTCACTGATTGATTATACAATGTTTTTGGCATTTCTAACTCTCCGCTGAAAAAAAGAAGTCTGGGCTTGAATAAATGTTTGAACTTAATTGGGACAAATGTAAATTACGTATCTCCTAATTTATTACATTGGATTTTACATCATGTGTTTGGTGTTCCTCAGCCCCATTAAAAGAGGGATAAAATTTAAGATGATGAATTCATTTTCATCACATATAAAGTTTTGTCCTACAGTAATATCACATTGCATAGTCTTTATGTTTTCCTCTTCACAATAGGCGAAATCTAACGATTTTCTGCTGATGAAAGCGTTTCTATCTGTGGCACACCAAAGATGGAGATGCAACTTCATCTTGCATTCTGAAATCTGCTCCAGTGGTCCAATCCCCTTAGAACAGATTTTTAGGCGGAATAGGACGATTTGCCATGGCCAGCTTTCTGTGGGACAACTTGCCATGAAACAATTCAATAATTCAAATTAATTATTTAAAATGATTTAAAACATATTATAATTTTTGTCATTCACATTTCATTTTGTCCCTCTTTTGGCATTGTTTCTTTAATTACTATATACCACCATTTATTCAAGATTAGTGTAACTCTTGTTCCACAGAAAATTGTTCCGTGGCGAGTTTGCTGTGGTGAGTAGTCTTAGACTTAGACCCATTGGGAGGGTGCAAAAGGAGCAGAAAGTCCAATCAGTGGACTTTAAAACCAGGTGGGCAATGTTAAGCTTCATCCGTTTAAAACTAGACGAAATGGAAGTACAGAAATTATATCTTAAATTAGTGAAATAAACTTTGTTACAAAAATAATTACCGAGTTGAGTAGGATTTTCCTTCAGTTAATTGCTGTTTAATAGCTAATTATATTTAAAAGACTGCAACTGTTAAATACGGTGCAGGATGAAAAGAACTTGCTTTTATCTTAATCATCTTTAAGTGGTATATACCTAAACAAAACACCTACCGTACTAAGTTTTAGGAGAAGATTCCAAAGGCTGTATTTCCAATAACAGAATTGGTGGGATCCTTCAAACTCTGGCTCTAAGCCAGAGTTCCCAAACCTTTTCGGCTTTGCGGGCCGGCCCAGGGGGCGGGGGGAGAGGGGACGGTTCAGCATGCAGGCAGGCAAGCATGTGCATGGGCATGTACAGCTACATTTGTGTGAGTAGTGGGCATGCGTGGCTGCCGCTCGCTCAAATGGAGCACTCTCACCCGCCACTTCCGTAGCCCAGTTCCGAAAAGCTCAAGGCCTGGTAGTGGCCTGTGGCCGGGGGTTTGGGAACCCTGCTCTAAGCAACGACACCATTTGCTTAACATCGGATCTTCCAATACAAATGAATATTCTGCAGATCAAGAATGTTGCAGAATAGGCTAAAGACATCTGAAATTCTATGAAATTAGCAGAACAAAAACTCCTCTATGGGATAAGGGATAGAGATTATTAAAAAGGGATACTATACTAAGCACTGTTAAGAACTGGACAAATATTTCTTCAGAAAAAAATGTCAATACGTTCTTTGATTGATTCCATTATCAGTATAGAAATAATTTACATACTACTACAAGCAAAAAGAGAAGAAGAAATACAGTTTAACTGTTTGCAGAATTGTGCAATTTGCACATTCTTTTTGGATGAGTTATTAGGAAATTCACCGCCACAACCAATAAAAGGGAGGGCGCAAGGAGGGTCCAATAAGAGCTGGACCATGTTTGCTTTTCATGAAAAGGGGCCCCCAGTATTGATCAGCTTGTAGCTTTGGATATTGCTATTTGAGGTACAGGTTGTCCTCGACTTACAACAGTTCATTTAGTGACTGTTCCAAGTTACAACAGCACTGAAATAAGTGATTTATGACCATTTTTCACACTTATGACCATTGTGAAAATGCTGAGGGGAAAGGGAGAGTTTCCAAGCTGAGCCATGCTGGCTCAGGAATTCTGGGAGTTGAAGTCCACCAGTCATAAAACAGCCAAGGTTGCCAACCCCTGACATAAGCTAATCATGAGAGGTAGTGCCCGTAGAAATGAATGAAGAAATACATGACATTTGTCCATTCACTTCTGAAAAGAAAATGTCACTCGGCAGTATTTGCTTTGGCTAGAGACTTCAGCCTGAGATCTAACTGACCATGTTTACCGTCAGAAACAGAACATATGCTTGTATTTTCCAAGAAACACCTTTGAAGTTGAGTAATATTTTAACCATTCAACTACTCTTTAACAAACCGTTTCATAAGCACACGGCGTCAATAATCAAATTGGATTTTTTGTCTCTAAATATATAATGTATCTCATCAGACACACATTTTTTCTGATAACATAGAAATATTTTAAGGACAGCTGTACAACATTGGAAAAAGATAAATCTAAACATTGCAGTGTTAAAAAAGAAAACGAATCTACACATTTATTTAGAGGACTAATTCAGCTTTCAATATCTTATTATTATAATATATTTAATACATATAATTTGTGATCATCTACAATTTATAATAAAAGCCAGTTGGGCATAATGGTTAAGATTCCAGGCTAGAAACTAGGAGGCCACGAGTTCAAGTCCTGCCTTAGACATAAAGCCAGTTGGGTAATCCTGGGCCAGGTTCTCTCTCTCAGTCCAAAGGAAAAGGCAAACCTGAAATCTCACCAAGAAAACCTCAGGGATTGGTACCTGGCACTTGCCAGGAGTCAGGATTGATTTGAAGGTACACAGATAATCACAATTTATAGCAATGAATTTATTTGTGGTGTACTTCACCATTAATTGCTAATGTTCATAAAATCCAGACATTAATGGATTTAGTTCTTTAATTGTTCTCTTTCTGGTCAACAAAAAGAATACTGGATTTCTCTCTTTGATCCAGATTTTCTACATATAATTTCAGAATTTGCAAGTGAAAGTGTGTGTGTGATGCAGTACATGACTTTTGCTCATCAGTAAAATGAGTTATTCCTCACTAGTAATAAAATAAAATATTCAGTAAAATTTAACTATCTCAGATTATTAAATCATAAAGGATACAAGAAGTTTTGCATTATTTGTTTTGACATAACTGCTAGATTGGTCACAAAAATTCTATCAACAGAAGAAAGCTTCTTCTCCTCCTCCCAATCTGGGCTGAGAGCGATGCAAAGTCATCCAGATGACTTCTGTGCCTAAGGTAGGATGGGACTTGGGTTTCACCCCTTCCCCACCATGCCCCCGCAATTCTCAATTCTACAGATACAAACAAATAAAACAAATGGTTTTCTAGATTTTGTCATTGCTTAATTCAACTATGTACAAGGTAATTTCCCTTCCAAAGCAAAACCTTGGTTCTAATGCCTAGTTTTGAAAGTTACATGGAGGATACGGACACCTAGGCATACATGTGAGAAACAGAAGACCTAATAAAAAAGATACACACTGTATACCAGGTGTGCAAGGCATCATCATGCTTTCAAAAGGAAAAGTGGAAAGAAGGGGGATTAGTTGGGTTTAATGGGATGAAGAATTATAGGAGAGAAAGCATAGTTAAGACTGAAGAAATTTATGGTCAGAACAATAGATTTCTGCTACAATGACAGGTCGCTAAGCAAAATTGACACATATTTATGTCACTAGGTGAGTGACACAGGTCGCTAAGCAAAATTGACACAGGTCGCTAAGCAGAATTGACCCATATTTATGTCACTAAGTGTGTGTGTGTGTGTGTGTGTGTGTGTGTCTGTGTGTCTGTGTGTACAGGTGCTATACACAGGTAGTACTCGACTTATGACCACAATTGAAAATTTCTATTGCTGAGACAGTTGTTAAGTGAATTTTGCCCCATTCTATGACCTTTCTTGCCATAATTGTTAAGTAAATCACTGCAGATATTAAGTGAATCACTGTGGTTCTTAAGTGAATTTGGCTTTCCCGCTTGTCAGAAAGTCACAAAAGGTGATCACATGACCCCGGGACACATGCAACCATCATACATATATGAACCAGTTGCCAAGCATCCAAATTCTGATCACATGACCCTAAGGATGCTGCAACGGTCATTAAGTATGAAAAACGGTCGGAAGTCACTTTTTTCAGTACTGTTATAGTGCCTAATGATCATTAAACAAGTAATTGTAAGTTGAGGACTACCTGTATTCAAATTTGGTCCATCACTCCCCTAACACATTATTGTTTCTAGCATCATTTCAGTGACTATTCAAGGGGACAATTTCCCCATCCTATGCTGAAGAATGAACTTTCAGCATGAGACATGAAAAGCTGTTTCTTCTAAGTCAGTGGTTCTCAACCTGTGGGTCGGGACCCCATTTGGGGTCGAACGACCATTTCACGGGGGTCGCCATACAATGCAGTCCGCCATTTTTTCCCCCTTTTCCTTAGCTGTGCTACTCCCTTTTATTCTATTGGCTTTTGAAAAGCCAATAGAATAGACTCTCTTGAATAGAGTCTAATTCTATTGGCTTTTAAAAGCCAATAGGAATTGTCCAGGCTGTCTCTGCCCTGCTGAGCCCGCCAAAAGTCCCATTCTGTAAACGGTGCTGCACCAGTTGAGTAGTCCTCGACTTACAACCGGTTGGGGGTCACGGCATTAAAAAGGTTGAGAACCACTGTTGTAAGTGATTTGGGAAGGGCAGTCCCTTCAGAGCAGCGGTTCCCAATCTTTTCTACACCCCGCACCCCTAGAACGCTTTTGATATATTCTCGCACCCCTTACAAAAGTTCAAAATAATGGCATCAAATTATGCATATACACTATCATTTTGAAAACCCAAGTTTTCACACCCCCTGGAATATCGTCTTGCAACCCTGGTTGCGAACCTCTGCTTTAGAGGATCAAGAGGAAAGAGAAACCGGATATCTAGCATATCGTTCCATCAACATTAGGGAGCAGACTGTAATCTTTAATAAAATACATTGCTTAATGTTTAACAGACAAAACAGTTTGTTCAGCATCAGTTCTTTGATACTGAAAGTTCAAGCTTGGAGAAATGTGCAGTTCCAGTCCTTGGAGAAGGCCCTGCATGAACATACAGTAGTAATGATGGCAGTCCGTGTATCTTATATCTTATAGTAGGCATTTGCAATTTTTTGCCAGTCATGGGTGCCTTCTATAGTTTTAATAGGAGCAAGAGCTGTAGTACATGGGGCTATATCATACATGTGGGTCTTTTGGGGGGGTGAATTTGGAGTCTGATTTAGGATTTATTTCTCCTCCCATCCACCTAAAAATGGCAGGAAACCATTCTACCAATTTGATAGCAGTGGTCAGAAAAGAACACAGCAGCCACAAACAACAACAACAAAATACCAGCTTTTTTTCTGTTGCCCCAGGGTTCTGCCTCAGAGGACTTTTCAATGTTGAAGTGAAAGGAGATGGTTCTGCTTTATGGGTATACATAAGAGCTCCCTGCAGCTGTCTGTTGCAACCCACGTTGAACTTTTTCTCTAGACCAGTGGTTCTCAACCTTTTTAATGCCACGACCCCCAACCGGTCATAAGTCGAGGACTACTCAACCGGTCGTAAGTCGAGGACTACTCAACTGGTGCAGCACCGTTTGCAGAATGGGACTTTTGGCGGGCTCAGCAGGGCAGAGACAGCCTGGACAATTCCTATTGGCTTTTGAAAGCCAATAGAATTAGACTCTATTCAAGAGAGTCTATTCTATTGGCTTTCAAAAGCCAATAGAATAAAAGGGAGTAGCGCAGCTAAGGAAAAGGGGGAAAAAATGGCGGACTGCGTTGTTTGGCGACCCCCGTGAAATGGTCGTTCGACCCCAAATGGGGACCCGACCCACAAGTTGAGAACCACTGCTCTAGACCTTTAGCACATAAAACAGCTACGAATAGCTTCAGAATGGGGGATGCACTACTTAATGCCTCAGGGATAAAAGCAGCTGTTGGAGAAGGACGACATCTCTAAGACAAGTGCCTTAAAGTGCAGCCACAGCTTTGCCAATGGCTGTCATCTTTCTATCCACTGGCAGATGGGAAAGGAAGATAGGCTGGGCCCAAAATCTCAACCCACCTTTCTAGCCAGATATTTTTACACCAGCCCCTCTCCCTTCTTTACATACCCCCCACACCTACCATACCCTGTGGGAGGGGGTTGCCTTGAATTCTTTGCCCACTTAGACTCTTTATATCAGGGGTCTCCAACCTTGGCAACTTTAAGACTTGTGGACTTCAATTCCCAGAATTCCTCAGCCAGCCAAGCTGGCTGAGGAATTCTGGGAGTTGAAGTCCACAAGTCTTAAAAGTTGCCATGGTTGAGGACCTCTGCTTTATGTGATCTATGAGCCTCATCCTGCCTCTGTGAGTGATTAACTTGTGATTTGGGAAAAGAGGTGGGTGGTACATTACAATTTGTGTAGTTGCCTAAGTTTTCCTTCTTGCCAAACGCAGCAGAGCCTGTATTGGATTAAAGGACTGATGGTTATATTACGATGAATGGAAGAGGAACCAAGAACTAGCTGTGTTTTCCAGCTGTTTGTTCATGGCCAGCTGGGGAACTCTGAGAGGTGGAGTCCACAAATCTTAAAGTTGCCAAAGTTGGACACCCCTGCTTTAGAAAAAAAAAAGTTTAACATAGGTTGCAACTAACAGGTGCAGGGAGCTGTTACATGCATCCATAAAGCAAAACCATCTCCTTTCACTTCAACATTAAGAAGTGATTCGTAGCAGAGGTTCCACTACATTTACAAAGTAATTATTATTCCCAATCTGATCACTAGTCCATTCAGAACCAGTCTATATTGGGTTCCAGTATGGGTACATATCAGGTACATATCTGGAGGCTACCATCCTGGAAAGGCTGATGTACAGGATTGTAGCATAACAACATCAACAAAAAAACCTCTCACTTATTTTGTTTAGATGGCCTTTTAAAGACAGCTCTCAT